CATTAGCTGGTGTTCCGGGAAGGCCCGTTGGCTTTATGGGAATGAAGTTACATTGCACTGGTTTGTGCTTTAAAAACTTTTTTAGCTTTTACAACTAATATACCAATGTGTCTCTGGACTTTATTTTAAACTTAAAAGTTGCTTCAAATGTACTTTGTAAATGTTGGGTGTCTAACATTTCATCTCATCCCATCTCATCTCATCAGAGCGCGCTCAGGCCCACGCCCTGCGCGGAGAGGAGAGGGACTAACGGGACGCCGCGTGCGCTCGGGAAGCGGCTGCGGCGTTTTGTGGAGCCTCCCGATACGAAGGTTGGAGAGGAGGCGTTTCCCAGGTTAAGGGACAGGCAAGGGCTTTCAAAGTGGATGGGCAAGGAATGAGCCATGCCCGGCATGGGCACGGAGTGTGCAGCGAGAACAGAATGGAAATAAGGCTGAAACCTGGGGTCGGGAATGAAACGTTTTGGAGGAATTGTCTTCATTTAAAGGTAGAGGAACTTGTAGTCGGGAGAATGAGTGCTCTGCGCAGACCTCTGGTTGGGAGGGTGCCTGGCAGGGGAAGCCAGTGGGCTGGAAGGTGGTGACGGGGCCTCAGGGCCCAGCTGACAGCGGTTCTCGCCTGAGATGGGAAGGGGCTCCGTGCCCTGGCTAAGCTCACCCACCAGTTAGCAGGCAGCGCTTGTGCGGGAAGAAGGCTTCCCATGTCCCCTCGGGTCATGGACCAGCGTGCAGTCTGTGCGGGCACCTGCGCGTGTCAGGGCCGGGGAGCAGTCCTGCTTGGAGCCTCCTCCTGCCTTTCGGCTCCCCCTCGGCTCCCCCTCCTGAGGTCCCGCCGCTGCGGGCGCCCTACAGTGTCAGTTCGCTGACAGTGGAGACGAGAAGGGGACACCTGTGCGGTGTCGCACGTGTGAGATTAGCGCTGCCTGCACCGCGGGCAAAGCTCGGATGGCTAAGGACTGAGTGGCCGGGAGGCAGGGGTGAAAAGCTTTGAAACATGGGCAGGACATGCAGTATAAAGAATCACAATGTCTTGAGAGAAAAGTGGGGGAGGCTGAGGGGTCAGAGCAGATTAAAAGGAGAACGAGAAGCCCTGGCCAGACAGGTCCTAGACTAGAGGGTGGGGTCTGCTGATTCCTGCAGACCCAGGTCAGCCGAGCTCGGGGGAGTTTGGGTCCTCGGGGGCAAGTCCGCCTGGCACAGCCAGGCTGCTTCCTGTCGGGTGAGGTGGGCGATAGTCCCGCCCAGGGCTACTGCAATGGCTGACTTCATGTGTTTTATAGAACTGACTTCATGAAGTTTATTTTATTTTTAATTTATCTTTATTGTTGAAAGTATTACACATGTCCCGTTCCCCCTCCCTCCCATTGACCCACTCCACCCAAGTTCTTTGGTTGATCTCTTCCTGCTCACCCCACCCCCTTCCCTCTGAGATTCCACAGTGTGTTCTATGCTTTAATGTCTCTGGTTCTATTTTGTTCATCGGTTTATTTTGTTCATTAGATTCCTCATGTGAGTTAGATCATGTGATGCTTCTCTTTCTCTGACTGGCTTATTTCACTCAGCATGATACTCCCCAAGCCCCTCCATGCTGTCTCAAAGAATAAGAGATCCTTCTTTTTTACTGCTGTGTAGTATTCCATGGTGTAAATGTACCACAGCTTTTTATCCACTCATCTACTGATGGGCACCTGGGCTGTTTCCAGATCTTAGCTATTGTAAATTGTGCTGCTATGAACATAGAGGTACATACATTCTTTCTGATTGGTGTGTTAGGCTTCTTAGGATATATTTCTAGGTCAAATGGCAGATCTATTTTTAATATTTTGAGGAAACTCCACACTGTTTTCCACAGTGGCTGCACCAGTCTGCATTCCCACCAGCAGTGCACTAGGGCTCCCTTTTATCCACATCCTCACCAGCACTTGTTTGTTGATTTACTGATGGTAGCCATTCTGACAGGTGTGAGGTAATATCTCCCTGTCATTTTAATTTGCATCTCTCTGATAATTAGTGCTGTTGAGCATTTTTTCATATGTCTCTTGGCCATCTGTATTTTTTAATAGACACTCCTCTTTGGAGAAGTGTCTATTCAGGTCCTCTGACCATTTTTTTAATTGGATTGTTTCTCTTCCTTTTGTTGAGCTGTACGAGTACTTTATATATTTTGGAAATTAACCCCTTATCAGATGTATCATTGGCAAATATGTTCTCCCATACAATGGGTTCTTTTTCATTTTGATCCTGGTTTCTTTTGCTGTGCAGAAGCTTTTTAGTTTGATGTCGTCCCATTATTATCTCTTGCTTTAGGACAGTGGTTCCCAAACTTATTTGGCCTACCGCCCCCTTTCCAGAAAAAATATTACTCAGCGCCCCCTGGAAATTAATTTTTTTAAAATTTTAATAGCAATTAAACAGAAAGATATATGTATTAATGTTTCTACCTTTTTCATAAAATATAGTAAAGAAAGGTGTAAATTAGAAACATTGAAGTTTGAAATTATGAAACTATTTATTGAACTCAGAATAGAAAGGTAATACAAAAAAAGTTAAAACAAATGCACCTGTGGCCATCACCGCCCCCCTGGATCGCTGCAGCGCCCACCAGGGGGTGGTAGCGCCCACTTTGGGAATCACTGCTTTAGGAGATATATTTGTGAAACCTCTGCTACATGAGATGTCTGATATTTTGTTGCCTATGTTTTCTTCTAGGATGTTTATGGTTTCACGACTTACATTTGAGTCTTTTGGACGTTTTGAGTTTACTCTTGTGTGTGTTGTAAGTTGGTGATCTAGTTTCATTTTTTTTCATGTATCTGTCCAATTTTCCCAGCACCATTTATTGAAGAGACTGTCTTGACTCCATTGTATGCTCTTGCCTCCTTTGTCAAATATTGAGGGTAATGGTTTGGGTTGATTTCTGGGGTCTCTGTTCTGTTCCATTGGTCTATATGCCTGTTCTTGTGCCAGTATCAGGTTATTTTGATTACAGGGGCTTTGTAGTATAACTTGATATCTGGTATTGTGGTCCCTCCAACTTTGTTCTTCTTTCTCAAGATTGCTGAGGCTATGCAGGGTCTTTTTTTGTTCCACATGAATATTTGGAGAGTTTGTTCTAGGTCTATGAAATATGCCATTGGTGTTTTAATAGGGATTGTATTGGATCTATAGATTGCCTTGGGTAGTGTGGACATTTTAATGATGTTAATTCTACCAATCCATGAACACAGCATAAAAGGTATTCTTCCACTTGTTTATATCTTCCTCTATCTCTTTTTTCAGCATCCTATTATTTTCTGAGTAAAGGTCTTTTACCTCCTTAGTTAAGTTTTTCCTAAGTGGTATTTTTGTTGCAATGTAAATGGGATTGTTTTTTTTTTTATTATTTTTTATAAGGAGTAATGGGATTCACTTGCAGATCCTAGTTTTGCCAGCAGGTGGCACATGCGGCTTATGAGCTGGTTTTGACAAAGGACTTGGTGGGCAGCTGAGCCCGTTGCCAATGTTAGCGGCTAAGGGCAGATGGCCTCCCTTTCCACTCATGAACCCTCTTTGGTATTTTCCATTCCTTCGAGAGCCTGGTGGCATTTTCTCTCCAGGTCAAAGTTGGCAGAATTCCAGGAGAGTGGAACTCAGGAACACATGGGTGTCCCCACTTCCTCACTTTCTCCTCTGAAAGGGGTGTGAGGGCCAGTTCCTACCTTCCTGTGAGGCTGAGAGGAATCAGTCACCTCGTATTTTGTTTCTCCTTGAAATAGAGAGGAGGGCTTCCACCTTCTGGGGAACCTGGCAGTTGCTGTTGTGATGGCAGTGGCCTGAGCAGAGCCCCCAGCAGAGCTCTGGCCCCGGTGCCAGCGCTGCCTGGGCAGCGAGGCCCTGCGTTCACCACATGGTGCTGTTTAGACCTGATTCGAGGTGGGTGGGCTCTGGGCCTCAGACTTCTCCAGAGATCGTGGTCAGAAACTGGGGCACTTTGGTGACCCACTCCTCACCACCTCCACCCCCCAAAAACCCACTGCAGTGACTGCTCCAGGGAGTGAGAGGTGCTGTGTAAGGACACTGGGCTGGCTTTGCCAGCGCCCAGCGCCAGTGCTGTCCTCCTGGAGGGGTGTCTTTGGCGCCTCTGGCCAGGCTCAGGCTCAGGCTGCATGTGGCGCCAAGGAAAGGCTTTCCTTAAAGATTTGCCCTAATTGGCTGTGGCCCACGCCGCGGAGCTCTGGCCAGGCTCAGGCTGCATGAGGCTCCAAGGAAAGGCTTTCCTTAAAGATTTGCCCTAATTGGAGCTTTTTTAAAAATCCTCAATAGAAGATATTTTTTCCATTGCTTTTTTTTAGAGAGAGTAGAAGGGAGGGAAAGAGGGAGAGAGGAGGCGGGGGAGGGGGAGAGAGAGAGAGAAACATTGATGTGAGAGAGACACATCAATTGGTTGCCTCCCGTACATGTCCTGACCAGGGCCAGGCATCAAACCTGTAACCCACGTACGTGCCATTGACCGGGAATCGAACCCTTGGCCTTTCAGTGCCTGGACCAGTGCTCTAACCACTGAGACACCAGCCAGGCTCATCACTGGAGCTTTGAACGGAGGAGGAACTGGAGGAGGGTGAATGGGCACTGGGGAGGATTAGCATCAACCTAACAGAAGTCTGCATGGGAGATGGGCACAGCCTGAGGCCTGGGCCCTGGAGCAGAGCTGGCCAGGCAGACGAAAGCAGGCTCCTGGGCCCGCAGGGGTGGGGGTGGGGCGCAGGACCCGCTGGGCAGGCTCCAGCCCTGGGAGCGGGAGGGGGCAGGAAGTGGTCCTGCCCGAGCGCAGGGATGAAGGAACTGAGCACATGGACTGGTGTAGCTCCAGCTTCACAGCTGTGGCAGCTCTGGGTGCCCCTCAGGGAGCTTCCCGCCCACTGGCATTCCACCTACAGACACCGTGAGGACCCCAATCCTAGTAAAGCGTAGAGGTCGCTCGGTAACCCCCACTTCGCTTGACCTTAAAGAAGGAGCCAGGCGTCCCACTTGCAGAGCGAATTTAATAAAGAGGGCAGTGTCCCTGGGGCGCTACTTGGATCCCAGGCGCCATCTGTTTTGGTGGCCACGGGCCTGTGGTCTCTGGCACCTGCCAGTCACAGCAGCAGCAGCCAGATGGCATGAGGGGTCAGGCTTTCCTGGCCGCGAGGCGACACTCCCTCTCCGCTGGCTGCAGGGCACCAGGCACTGCCGAGGTCCATGAGGCAGGGGCTCGGGGCTCCTCACAGCCCCCCGTCCCTGCGGAGGGAGGCGAGCAGTGAGCTCCCTCACTGTGGGGCACCTCTGGCCCCCACAGTCAGGCTGCCCAGGGTGGAGAAAAACTCCTCCATTTCCTCCTGCAGCAGCTGGTTCCTCCTCTCGGCGTCCGCCCGCGCCCGCTCCGAGTTCCGCAGCCTGATCTGCAGCATCGTGTACTTCTTCTTCTCCTGGTCCAGCTCCTCCTCCAGCCGCAACATTCGTTTCCTCAGGTCGGCGGTACCGTCTTCAAGTCTTAACAATCAAGAACAAAGATACTGTTTTAGACTCTGCCCTGCTGGGTTTGCCGAGAGAGCAACTGTCGCGGCCCCGCCCGCTGCCCGGTGAGGAAGGGCTGCAGGGCACACGGGCAGCTGGGCTGGCTCACGAGGTCCACCCCGAGCACTGCCCTCAGCCATGATCCAGAAACGCCGTGGGAGCATTTGGCCCTGGGTACCCGAGGCCAGGGGTCCCCCTGAATCCTCACTACATGTGAAGACCACTTACCCTCTGGGCCAGCCAGCTGTCCTCGGTGTGGAGAGCAGGACCTCAGTCCCCTCCACTCCCTCCTGCTGCCCCACCCATGCCCCAGGCTGACATCACACCTCGATCCTCCCAGCAGGCCGCATACTGCGCCTCTATGCCACCAGAGAGCCACCTGCACTCCTACAGCTGGTCCGCACCGTCTCCTCACCCTGCACTCCTACAGCTGGCATGCACGGTCTCCTCCACCACACGCCAGCAGCTCCTGCAAGGCCTGAGGGATGCTGAGCCAGACCCGGGGGACTGGCCTGGCTACGCCCAAGGCGCATGACTATGGGCAGACACACGTGCCCTGAGCCCTGGTGTCCTCTCTGAAAAACGCAAGGACACCTCCCACCACAGCAGCTTCCATGCCTCCAGCTCAGCCAGCGAACTCGGCGCACAGGGAAGGGAGAAAACCTCCCCCGCCCAGCCCTCCATCGGGAGCACAGGGCATGCTGTCGGAAAGAAGGCCCCCGGGAGGTGGCACAGCCCATGACCCTCACTTCTCCTCCAGGCCCAGGCCCCTCATCGCCAATGCCTCCCACCCACCGGGGCCCTCAAGTTTGGCCTGCCCCCCTCCCCCCATGACACTAGACCAGCAACCTGTCCAGTCTCCAGGCTCTCAGCCTCTCTATCCCTCGACTCCACTCCAACTAAATAAGTATCCCGACTTCAAGGCCTGCAGCTGAGCCCGGCCTGCTCCTGCCGCTCCTGCACCCGCTCCTCCTCAGTGAGCACCTCCTCCGGTTGCTTGGCCAAAAAACTGTCCTCAAATCAGTTCTTTTTCTCATCCCACAGTGGACCGATTAGCAAAACCTCCCCAATATGTTCAGCATCTGGCTCTTCTCCTCACCTCACTGCTTGCCCCTTAGGCCATGGCACCCATCCTGGCCTGGACGCCGTGGCCTCCTGACTGGTGGAGTGTCCTCAGGAGAGCAGTCAGGGCACCCCTCCGAGTGGTCAAAGTGCTCCAGGCCCTCTGGTCACTCAGAGTCGAATCGTGTAAAATCCAGAGCATGCTCTGACCACATGGTCCTGCCCTCCGCCCCCCAGCGCCCCCTCTCACACTCCAACAAGCCGCCCTCCCTCTCCCCTCTAACAGTCCGCGAGTTTTAAAATCTATCTTGTACGGTCTCTGTGCCCCCACAGCTGCGTGACCAGAATGAGGACAGAGATTGAGATCAGTGTTGGTCACAGCTGTGCCCAGGGCCCAGCACCTAGCACTGTGGCACATCGGACACTCTTCTGGGGGTGCAGGGATCAGGGCACAGGGAGGCAGGGCAGAAAGCTGAATCCATGCCCCCCACCCAGACCTGGCTCTAACGCTGCAGGTCCAGAGTTACAGACTCTATCCAAAGGCCCACTACCAGCGCCCTACTCCTTCCTGCGCCCAGAGCCCCTGCTCACTCGCCCACCTCCAACCCGGACATGGCAGGACGGCGCTACCAGGGACCATGGCGGGGACAGCGCTGCTGCCCTGGCCTGCGGCCTGCTCTCACCTCCAACCCAAGCAGGGGGTGACAGGAGCAGGTCTCAGCACCGGATGTGGCAGCTGTGCGCTGACCACTGCCCCATGTGTCACTCCGTCCTCTTAACAAATGCATGGGGTCGCCGGAGCGCCGAGAGCCTGCCTGGACACTGTCAGTCTGCGGCCGGCAGGGACGCCCCAGGGTCTGAGTCCTCTTAACAAATGCATGGGGTCGCCGGAGCGCCTGCCTGGACGCTGTCAGTCTGCGGCCGGCAGGGACGCCCCAGGGTCTGGCCAGAGCCCACCATGACGCAATACCGTTTCCCGAGAAACCGGCCCCCAGAGGAGCTGCTCAGACCCCGAGGCGGCGGGGGCGATAGGCCTGTGCCTGGCTTCCATCTGCCCTCCCTGCTGCCACTGTTACTCGCTGGAGACCCACTTCCCTCTAGGGCAGCGGTTCTCAACCTGTGGGTAGCGACCCCTTTGGCGGTCGAATGACCCTTTCACAGGGGTCGCCTAAGACCATCCTGCACATCAGATATTTACATTACGATTCATAACAGTAGCAACATTACAGTTATGAAGTAGCAACGAAAATAATTTTATGGTTGGGTCACAACATGAGGAATTGTATTTAAAGGGCCAGAAGGTTGAGAACCACTGCTCTAGGGTTTCCACCAAGCGTGTGCCCCAGCTTTCTCCTGCCGTGAGCTTTCTCCTCACTCAACTCCACCCTCTCAGCCTCAGTCCTGCTCAGACATGACCTCCCTGACCTTCCTCAGGGCCTCTGTCCTTAAGCCTTTCTCCTGTCATCTACCCTCAAGGACACGCCCCTCACACGCCTGACTCTCCCAGGTGCCAGGACCTGGCTTCCCCAGCCACAGGGCCCCACTGCCACTGCAGCTCCCGGTGGAAACCCCTGCACCCCGCCCCGTCCCCGGTGGGGAGGGAAGCCCAGAACCGCTGACCAGTGGGTGGGAAGGGCCTGCAGGCCCAACAGCTGGACTGGGGATCGGAGACGCTGTGGGAAGCACCCACCGCATGCTGCCCAGCGCGGGCCCTGCTGTGCCCTGGCTGGACCACCTGGCTCAGAGCTGGCAACACCCTCCTCATCCGGGTGGGAGGAAGGAAGGAGGGCCGGCTGGGAGCAAGAACACGGCACTGAGCATTCCCCCGGGCCAGGCGGGCAGGGCTTGGCTCAGCTCCCTCCGGGAAATCCCATTCTGATCCCATCTGATCAGCTACAGGCTCAAGCCCTCAGCCAGGCTGGCCTGGGGCCTGCATGACATGTGGGGACAACCGGGTGAGCAAGCACAGCTGGGGCCGCCTCCTGCCCAGCCCCTCCATCAACGGCCTGGGAGGCTCCTTCCTTCAGCAGGTGTGCATGGAGCTCCCGGGACACAGACCCCAACCTCCACCCCCAACCTGTCCGGGGCGTCCCCCAGAAAGGGGATTTCCAGGGCCCACTGCTCTGCGCCGGCCCCAGCGGGGGTGGGAGGGGGGCTTTCCCTCAGAGCAAGGCGAGGCGGCGGAGGCAGCCCTTTACCTTCTCACACTCAGCTCGTGCTCGGTCCTCTGCCGGCACAGCTCCGCCCGCAGCTCCGCCACCAGGCCCTGGAGAGCCTTGGAG